AGTGCTCACTTTTCGAAGACCGTCCTTCTTCGACCCTTTTCTCTGGGGCCAGTCCGCAATGTACGTAGACCATCCTTCTTCGTCCATTGAGGACGAGCGAAAATCCACAACGTCCGAAGCCGATCCTTCTCTGAACATTGTTCACTGGCGCCAGTCGACAATGTTCGAAGACAACCCTTCTTCGAACATTTTCGTGACTGGTATCAGTGCTCCACTTTTTCGAAGACCGTCCTTCTTCGACCCTTTTTCTCTGGGGCCAGTCCACAATGTACGTAGACCATCCTTCTTCGTCCATTGAGGACGAGCGAGATCCTTCTTCGTCCACAACGTCCGAAGCCGATCCTTCTCTGAACATTGTTCACTGGCGCCAGTCGACAATGTTCGAAGACAACCCTTCTTCGAACATTGTGACTGGTATCAGTGCTCACTTTTCGAAGACCGTCCTTCTTCGACCCTTTTTCTCTGGGGCCAGTCCGCAATGTACGTAGACCATCCTTCTTCGTCCATTGAGGACGAGCGAAAATCCACAACGTCCGAAGCCGATCCTTCTCTGAACATTGTTCACTGTTCAATGTTCGACTGGCGCCAGTCGACAATGTTTGAGGACGAGCGACAAACCCTTCTTCGAACATTGGCGCCAGACTGGTATCCCTTCTTCGAACATTGCTCACTTTTCGAAGACCGTCCTTCTTCGACCCTTTTTCTCTGGGGCCAGTCCACAATGTACGTAGACCATCCTTCTTCGTCCATTGAGGACGAGCGAGAGTCCACAACGTCCGAAGCCGATCCTTCTCTGAACATTGTTCACTGGCGCCAGTCGACAATGTTCGAAGACAACCCTTCTTCGAACATTGTGACTGGTATCAGTGCTCACTTTTCGAAGACCGTCCTTCTTCGACCCTTTTTCTCTGGGGCCCAGTCCACAATGTACGTAGACCATCCTTCTTCGTCCATTGAGGACGAGCGAAATCCACAACGTCCGAAGCCGATCCTTCTCTGAACATTGTTCACTGGCGCCAGTCGACAATGTTCGAAGACAACCCTTCTTCGAACATTGTGACTGGTATCAGTGCTCACTTTTCGAAGACCGTCCTTCTTCGACCCTTTTTCTCTGGGGCCAGTCCGCAATGTACGTAGACCATCCTTCTTCGTCCATTGAGGACGAGCGAGAGTCCACAACGTCCGAAGCCGATCCTTCTCTGAACATTGTTCACTGGCGCCAGTCGACAATGTTCGAAGACAACCCTTCTTCGAACATTGTGACTGGTATCAGTGCTCACTTTTCGAAGTCCTTCTTCGACCCTTTTCTCTGGGGCCAGTCCGCAATGTACGTAGACCATCCTTCTTCGTCCATTGAGGACGAGCGAAAGTCCACAACGTCCGAAGCCGATCCTTCTCTGAACATTGTTCACTGGCGCCAGTCGACAATGTTCGAAGACAACCTTCTTCGAACATTGTGACTGGTATCAGTGCTCACTTTTCGAAGACCGTCCTTCTTCGACCCTTTTCTCTGGGGCCAGTCCACAATGTACGTAGACCATCCTTCTTCGTCCATTGAGGACGAGCGAGAATCCACAACGTCCAAGCCGATCCTTCTCTGAACATTGTTCACTGGCGCCAGTCGACAATGTTCGAAGACAACCCTTCTTCGAACATTGTGACTGGTATCAGTGCTCACTTTTCGAAGACCGTCCTTCTTCGACCCTTTTCTCTGGGGCCAGTCCGCAATGTACGTAGACCATCCTTCTTCGTCCATTGAGGACGAGCGAGAGTCCACAACGTCCGAAGCCGATCCTTCTCTGAACATTGTTCACTGGCGCCAGTCGACAATGTTCGAAGACAACCCTTCTTCGAACATTGTGACTGGTATCAGTGCTCACTTTTCGAAGACCGTCCTTCTTCGACCCTTTTCTCTGGGGCCAGTCCACAATGTACGTAGACCATCCTTCTTCGTCCATTGAGGACGAGCGAGAGTCCACAACGTCCGAAGCCGATCCTTCTCTGAACATTGTTCACTGGCGCCAGTCGACAATGTTCGAAGACAACCCCTTCTTCGAACATTGTGACTGGTATCAGTGCTCACTTTTCGAAGACCGTCCTTCTTCGACCCTTTTTCTCTGGGGCCAGTCCGCAATGTACGTAGACCATCCTTCTTCGTCCATTGAGGACGAGCGAGAGTCCACAACGTCCGAAGCCGATCCTTCTCTGAACATTGTTCACTGGCGCCAGTCGACAATGTTCGAAGACAACCCTTCTTCGAACATTGTGACTGGTATCAGTGCTCACTTTTCGAAGACCGTCCTTCTTCGACCCTTTTCTCTGGGGCCAGTCCACAATGTACGTAGACCATCCTTCTTCGTCCATTGAGGACGAGCGAGAGTCCACAACGTCCGAAGCCGATCCTTCTCTGAACATTGTTCACTGGCGCCAGTCGACAATGTTCGAAGACAACCCTTCTTCGAACATTGTGACTGGTATCAGTGCTCACTTTTCGAAGACCGTCCTTCTTCGACCCTTTTCTCTGGGGCCAGTCCGCAATGTACGTAGACCATCCTTCTTCGTCCATTGAGGACGAGCGAGAGTCCACAACGTCCTTCGAAGCCGATCCTTCTCTGAACATTGTTCACTGGCGCCAGTCGACAATGTTCGAAGACAACCCTTCTTCGAACATTGTGACTGGTATCAGTGTTCACTTTTTCGAAGACCGTCCTTCTTCGACCCTTTTTCTCTGGGGCCAGTCCGCAATGTACGTAGACCATCCTTCTTCGTCCATTGAGGACGAGCGAGAGTCCACAACGTCCGAAGCCGATCCTTCTCTGAACATTGTTCACTGGCGCCAGTCGACAATGTTCGAAGACAACCCTTCTTCGAACATTGTGACTGGTATCAGTGCTCACTTTTCGAAGACCGTCCTTCTTCGACCCTTTTTCTCTGGGGCCAGTCCGCAATGTACGTAGACCATCCTTCTTCGTCCATTGAGGACGAGCGAGAATCCACAACGTCCGAAGCCGATCCTTCTCTGAACATTGTTCACTGGCGCCAGTCGACAATGTTCGAAGACAACCCTTCTTCGAACATTGTGACTGGTATCAGTGCTCACTTTTCGAAGACCGTCCTTCTTCGACCCTTTTTCTCTGGGGCCAGTCCGCAATGTACGTAGACCATCCTTCTTCGTCCATTGAGGACGAGCGAAATCCACAACGTCCGAAGCCGATCCTTCTCTGAACATTGTTCACTGGCGCCAGTCGACAATGTTCGAAGACAACCCTTCTTCGAACATTGTGACTGGTATCAGTGCTCACTTTTCGAAGACCGTCCTTCTTCGACCCTTTTTCTCTGGGGCCAGTCCGCAATGTACGTAGACCATCCTTCTTCGTCCATTGAGGACGAGCGAGAGTCCACAACGTCCGAAGCCGATCCTTCTCTGAACATTGTTCACTGGCGCCAGTCGACAATGTTCGAAGACAACCCTTCTTCGAACATTGTGACTGGTATCAGTGCTCACTTTTCGAAGACCGTCCTTCTTCGACCCTTTTTCTCTGGGGCCAGTCCGCAATGTACGTAGACCATCCTTCTTCGTCCATTGAGGACGAGCGAGAATCCACAACGTCCGAAGCCGATCCTTCTCTGAACATTGTTCACTGGCGCCAGTCGACAATGTTCGAAGACAACCCTTCTTCGAACATTGTGACTGGTATCAGTGCTCACTTTTCGAAGACCGTCCTTCTTCGACCCTTTTCTCTGGGGCCAGTCCACAATGTACGTAGACCATCCTTCTTCGTCCATTGAGGACGAGCGAGAATCCACAACGTCCGAAGCCGATCCTTCTCTGAACATTGTTCACTGGCGCCAGTCGACAATGTTCGAAGACAACCCTTCTTCGAACATTGTGACTGGTATCAGTGCTCACTTTTCGAAGACCGTCCTTCTTCGACCCTTTTCTCTGGGGCCAGTCCACAATGTACGTAGACCATCCTTCTTCGTCCATTGAGGACGAGCGAGAGTCCACAACGTCCGAAGCCGATCCTTCTCTGAACATTGTTCACTGGCGCCAGTCGACAATGTTCGAAGACAACCCTTCTTCGAACATTGTGACTGGTATCAGTGCTCACTTTTCGAAGACCGTCCTTCTTCGACCCTTTTTCTCTGGGGCCAGTCCACAATGTACGTAGACCATCCTTCTTCGTCCATTGAGGACGAGCGAAATCCACAACGTCCGAAGCCGATCCTTCTCTGAACATTGTTCACTGGCGCCAGTCGACAATGTTCGAAGACAACCCTTCTTCGAACATTGTGACTGGTATCAGTGCTCACTTTTTGAAAACCGTCCTTCTTCGACCCTTTTCTCTGGGGCCAGTCCACAATGTACGTAGACCATCCTTCTTCGTCCATTGAGGACGAGCGAGACAACGTCCGAAGCCGATCCTTCTCTGAACGTTCACTGGCGCCAGTCGACAATGTTCGAAGACAACCTTCTTCGAACATTGAACATTCACTTTTCGTCCTTCTTCGACCCTTTTTCTCTGGGGCCAGTCCACAATGTACGTAGACCATCTTCGTCCATTGAGGACGAGCGAATCCACAACGTCCGAAGCCGATCCTTCTCTGAACATTGTTCACTGGCGCCAGTCGACAATGTTCGAAGACAACCCTTCTTCGAACATTGTGACTGGTATCAGTGCTCACTTTTCGAAGACCGTCCTTCTTCGACCCTTTTTCTCTGGGGCCAGTCCACAATGTACGTAGACCATCCTTCTTCGTCCATTGAGGACGAGCGAGAATCCACAACGTCCGAAGCCGATCCTTCTTCTCTGAACATTGTTCACTGGCGCCAGTCGACAATGTTCGAAGACAACCCTTCTTCGAACATTGTGACTGGTATCAGTGCTCACTTTTCGAAGACCGTCCTTCTTCGACCCTTTTCTCTGGGGCCAGTCCGCAATGTACGTAGACCATCCTTCTTCGTCCATTGAGGACGAGCGAGAAGGCCAGTCCACCCAATGTCTTCGTCCAACGTCCGAAGCCGATCCTTCTCTGAACATTGTTCACTGGCGCCAGTCGACAATGTTCGAAGACAACCCTTCTTCGAACATTGTGACTGGTATCAGTGCTCACTTTTCGAAGACCGTCCTTCTTCGACCCTTTTTCTCTGGGGCCAGTCCACAATGTACGTAGACCATCCTTCTTCGTCCATTGAGGACGAGCGAGAATCCACAACGTCCGAAGCCGATCCTTCTCTGAACATTGTTCACTGGCGCCAGTCGACAATGTTCGAAGACAACCTTCTTCGAACATTGTGCCTGGTATCAGTGCTCACTTTTCGAAGACCGTCCTTCTTCGACCCTTTTTCTCTGGGGCCAGTCCACAATGTACGTAGACCATCCTTCTTCGTCCATTGAGGACGAGCGAGAGTCCACAACGTCCGAAGCCGATCCTTCTCTGAACATTGTTCACTGGCGCCAGTCGACAATGTTCGAAGACAACCCTTCTTCGAACATTGTGACTGGTATCAGTGCTCACTTTTCGAAGACCGTCCTTCTTCGACCCTTTTTCTCTGGGGCCAGTCCGCAATGTACGTAGACCATCCTTCTTCGTCCATTGAGGACGAGCGAGAATCCACAACGTCCGAAGCCGATCCTTCTCTGAACATTGTTCACTGGCGCCAGTCGACAATGTTCGAAGACAACCCTTCTTCGAACATTGTGCCTGGTATCAGTGCTCACTTTTCGAAGACCGTCCTTCTTCGACCCTTTTCTCTCTGGCCAGTCCGCAATGTACGTAGACCATCCTTCTTCGTCCATTGAGGACGAGCGAGAATCCACAACGTCCGAAGCCGATCCTTCTCTGAACATTGTTCACTGGCGCCAGTCGACAATGTTCGAAGACAACCCCTTCTTCGAACATTGTGACTGGTATCAGTGCTCACTTTTCGAAGACCGTCCTTCTTCGACCCTTTTTCTCTGGGGCCAGTCCGCAATGTACGTAGACCATCCTTCTTCGTCCATTGAGGACGAGCGAGAATCCACAACGTCCGAAGCCGATCCTTCTCTGAACATTGTTCACTGGCGCCAGTCGACAATGTTCAGTCGACAATGTTCGAAGACAACCCTTCTTCGAACATTGTGACTGGTATCAGTGCTCACTTTTCGAAGACCGTCCTTCTTCGACCCTTTTCTCTGGGGCCAGTCCACAATGTACGTAGACCATCCTTCTTCGTCCATTGAGGACGAGCGAAATCCACAACGTCCGAAGCCGATCCTTCTCTGAACATTGTTCACTGGCGCCAGTCGACAATGTTCGAAGACAACCCTTCTTCGAACATTGTGACTGGTATCAGTGCTCACTTTTCGAAGACCGTCCTTCTTCGACCCTTTTTCTCTGGGGCCAGTCCGCAATGTACGTAGACCATCCTTCTTCGTCCATTGAGGACGAGCGAGAATCCACAACGTCCGAAGCCGATCCTTCTCTGAACATTGTTCACTGGCGCCAGTCGACAATGTTCGAAGACAACCCTTCTTCGAACATTGTGACTGGTATCAGTGCTCACTTTTCGAAGACCGTCCTTCTTCGACCCTTTTCTCTCTGGGGCCAGTCCGCAATGTACGTAGACCATCCTTCTTCGTCCATTGAGGACGAGCGAGAATCCTAACGTCCGAAGCCGATCCTTCTCTGAACATTGTTCACTGGCGCCAGTCGACAATGTTCGAAGACAACCCTTCTTCGAACATTGTGACTGGTATCAGTGCTCACTTTTCGAAGACCGTCCTTCTTCGACCCTTTTCTCTGGGGCCAGTCCACAATGTACGTAGACCATCCTTCTTCGTCCATTGAGGACGAGCGAGAGTCCACAACGTCCGAAGCCGATCCTTCTCTGAACATTGTTCACTGGCGCCAGTCGACAATGTTCGAAGACAACCCTTCTTCGAACATTGTGACTGGTATCAGTGCTCACTTTTCGAAGACCGTCCTTCTTCGACCCTTTTCTCTGGGGCCAGTCCGCAATGTACGTAGACCATCCTTCTTCGTCCATTGAGGACGAGCGAGAGTCCACAACGTCCGAAGCCGATCCTTCTCTGAACATTGTTCACTGGCGCCAGTCGACAATGTTCGAAGACAACCTTCTTCGAACATTGTGACTGGTATCAGTGCTCACTTTTCGAAGACCGTCCTTCTTCGACCCTTTTTTCTCTGGGGCCAGTCCACAATGTACGTAGACCATCCTTCTTCGTCCATTGAGGACGAGCGAGAGTCCACAACGTCCTGGCGCCAGAAGCCGATCCTTCTCTGAACATTGTTCACTGGCGCCAGTCGACAATGTTCGAATTGACAACCCTTCTTCGAACATTGTGAAGGTATCCGTGCTCACTTTTCGAAGACCGTCCTTTTCGACCCTTTTCTCTGGGGCCAGTCCACAATGTACGTAGACCATCCTTCTTCGTCCATTGAGGACGAGCGAAATCCACAACGTCCGAAGCCGATCCTTCTCTGAACATTGTTCACTGGCGCCAGTCGACAATGTTCGAAGACAACCCTTCTTCGAACATTGTGACTGGTATCAGTGCTCACTTTTCGAAGACCGTCCTTCTTCGACCCTTTTCTCTGGGGCCAGTCCACAATGTACGTAGACCATCCTTCTTCGTCCATTGAGGACGAGTTCGAGACAATGTTCCACTTTTCGAACGTCCGAAGCCGATCCTTCTTCTTCGTCCATTGAACATTGTTCTCTGACTGGCGCCAGTCGACAATGTTCGAAGACAACCCTTCTTCGAACATTGTGACTGGTATCAGTGCTCACTTTTCGAAGACCGTCCTTCTTCGACCCTTTTTCTCTGGGGCCAGTCCACAATGTACGTAGACCATCCTTCTTCGTCCATTGAGGACGAGCGAGAATCCACAACGTCCGAAGCCGATCCTTCTCTGAACATTGTTCACTGGCGCCAGTCGACAATGTTCGAAGACAACCCTTCTTCGAACATTGTGACTGGTATCAGTGCTCACTTTTCGAAGACCGTCCTTCTTCGACCCTTTTTCTCTGGGGCCAGTCCACAATGTACGTAGACCATCCTTCTTCGTCCATTGAGGACGAGCGAGAGTCCACAACGTCCGAAGCCGATCCTTCTCTGAACATTGTTCACTGGCGCCAGTCGACAATGTTCGAAGACAACCCTTCTTCGAACATTGTGACTGGTATCAGTGCTCACTTTTCGAAGACCGTCCTTCTTCGACCCTTTTCTCTGGGGCCAGTCCGCAATGTACGTAGACCATCCTTCTTCGTCCATTGAGGACGAGCGAGAGTCCACAACGTCCGAAGCCGATCCTTCTCTGAACATTGTTCACTGGCGCCAGTCGACAATGTTCGAAGACAACCTTCTTCGAACATTGTGACTGGTATCAGTGCTCACTTTTCGAAGACCGTCCTTCTTCGACCCTTTTTCTCTGGGGCCAGTCCACAATGTACGTAGACCATCCTTCTTCGTCCATTGAGGACGAGCGAGAGTCCACAACGTCCGAAGCCGATCCTTCTCTGAACATTGTTCACTGGCGCCAGTCGACAATGTTCGAAGACAACCCTTCTTCGAACATTGTGACTGGTATCAGTGCTCACTTTTCGAAGACCGTCCTTCTTCGACCCTTTTTCTCTGGGGCCAGTCCGCAATGTACGTAGACCATCCTTCTTCGTCCATTGAGGACGAGCGAGAATCCCACAACGTCCGAAGCCGATCCTTCTCTGAACATTGTTCACTGGCGCCAGTCGACAATGTTCGAAGACAACCTTCTTCGAACATTGTGACTGGTATCAGTGCTCACTTTTCGAAGACCGTCCTTCTTCGACCCTTTTCTCTCTGGGGCCAGTCCACAATGTACGTAGACCATCCTTCTTCGTCCATTGAGGACGAGCGAGAATCCACAACGTCCGAAGCCGATCCGATCCTTCTCTGAACATTGTTCACTGGCGCCAGTCGACAATGTTCGAAGACAACCCTTCTTCGAACATTGTGACTGGTATCAGTGCTCACTTTTCGAAGACCGTCCTTCTTCGACCCTTTTTTCTCTGGGGCCAGTCCACAATGTACGTAGACCATCCTTCTTCGTCCATTGAGGACGAGCGAGAGTCCACAACGTCCGAAGCCGATCCTTCTCTGAACATTGTTCACTGGCGCCAGTCGACAATGTTCGAAGACAACCCTTCTTCGAACATTGTGACTGGTATCAGTGCTCACTTTTCGAAGACCGTCCTTCTTCGACCCTTTTTCTCTGGGGCCAGTCCACAATGTACGTAGACCATCCTTCTTCGTCCATTGAGGACGAGCGAGAATCCAAACGTCCGAAGCCGATCCTTCTCTGAACATTGTTCACTGGCGCCAGTCGACAATGTTCGAAGACAACCCTTCTTCGAACATTGTGACTGGTATCAGTGCTCACTTTTCGAAGACCGTCCTTCTTCGACCCTTTTTCTCTGGGGCCAGTCCACAATGTACGTAGACCATCCTTCTTCGTCCATTGAGGACGAGCGAGAATCCCACAACGTCCGAAGCCGATCCTTCTCTGAACATTGTTCACTGGCGCCAGTCGACAATGTTCGAAGACAACCCTTCTTCGAACATTGTGACTGGTATCAGTGCTCACTTTTCGAAGACCGTCCTTCTTCGACCCTTTTTCTCTGGGGCCAGTCCGCAATGTACGTAGACCATCCTTCTTCGTCCATTGAGGACGAGCGAGAATCCACAACGTCCGAAGCCGATCCTTCTCTGAACATTGTTCACTGGCGCCAGTCGACAATGTTTGAAGACAACCCTTCTTCGAACATTGTGACTGGTATCAGTGCTCACTTTTCGAAGACCGTCCTTCTTCGACCCTTTTCTCTGGGGCCAGTCCACAATGTACGTAGACCATCCTTCTTCGTCCATTGAGGACGAGCGAAAAGTCCACAACGTCCGAAGCCGATCCTTCTCTGAACATTGTTCACTGGCGCCAGTCGACAATGTTCGAAGACAACCCTTCTTCGAACATTGTGACTGGTATCAGTGCTCACTTTTCGAACCGTCCTTCTTCGACCCTTTTCTCTGGGGCCAGTCCGCAATGTACGTAGACCATCCTTCTTCGTCCATTGAGGACGAGCGAAATCCCACAACGTCCGAAGCCGATCCTTCTCTGAACATTGTTCACTGGCGCCAGTCGACAATGTTCGAAGACAACCCTTCTTCGAACATTGTGACTGGTATCAGTGCTCACTTTTCGAAGACCGTCCTTCTTCGACCCTTTTTCTCTGGGGCCAGTCCGCAATGTACGTAGACCATCCTTCTTCGTCCATTGAGGACGAGCGAAATCACAACGTCCGAAGCCGATCCTTCTCTGAACATTGTTCACTGGCGCCAGTCGACAATGTTCGAAGACAACCCTTCTTCGAACATTGTGACTGGTATCAGTGCTCACTTTTCGAAGACCGTCCTTCTTCGACCCTTTTTCTCTGGGGCCAGTCCGCAATGTACGTAGACCATCCTTCTTCGTCCATTGAGGACGAGCGAAGTCCACAACGTCCGAAGCCGATCCTTCTCTGAACATTGTTCACTGGCGCCAGTCGACAATGTTCGAAGACAACCCTTCTTCGAACATTGTGACTGGTATCAGTGCTCACTTTTCGAAGACCGTCCTTCTTCGACCCCTTTTTCTCTGGGGCCAGTCCGCAATGTACGTAGACCATCCTTCTTCGTCCATTGAGGACGAGCGAAAATCCCTGGCGTCCGAAGCCGATCCTTCTCTGAACATTGTTCACTGGCGCCAGTCGACAATGTTCGAAGACAACCCCTTCTTCGAACATTGTGACTGGTATCAGTGCTCACTTTTCGAAGACCGTCCTTCTTCCCTTTTTTCTCTGGGGCCAGTCCGCAATGTACGTAGACCATCCTTCTTCGTCCATTGAGGACGAGCGAAAGTCCACAACGTCCGAAGCCGATCCTTCTCTGAACATTGTTCACTGGCGCCAGTCGACAATGTTCGAAGACAACTTCTTCGAACATTGTGACTGGTATCAGTGCTCACTTTTCGAAGACCGTCCTTCTTCGACCCTTTTTCTCTGGGGCCAGTCCACAATGTACGTAGACCATCCTTCTTCGTCCATTGAGGACGAGCGAGAGTCCACAACGTCCGAAGCCGATCCTTCTCTGAACATTGTTCACTGGCGCCAGTCGACAATGTTCGAAGACAACCCTTCTTCGAACATTGTGACTGGTATCAGTGCTCACTTTTCGAAGACCGTCCTTCTTCGACCCTTTTTCTCTGGGGCCAGTCCACAATGTACGTAGACCATCCTTCTTCGTCCATTGAGGGACGAGCGAGTCCACAACGTCCGAAGCCGATCCTTCTCTGAACATTGTTCACTGGCGCCAGTCGACAATGTTCGAAGACAACCCTTCTTCGAACATTGTGACTGGTATCAGTGCTCACTTTTCGAAGACCGTCCTTCTTCGACCCTTTTTCTCTGGGGCCAGTCCGCAATGTACGTAGACCATCCTTCTTCGTCCATTGAGGACGAGCGAGAGTCCACAACGTCCCGAAGCCGATCCTTCTCTGAACATTGTTCACTGGCGCCAGTCGACAATGTTCGAAGACAACCCTTCTTCGAACATTGTGACTGGTATCAGTCGACTCACTTTTCGAAGACCGTCCTTCTTCGACCCTTTTTCTCTGGGGCCAGTCCACAATGTACGTAGACCATCCTTCTTCGTCCATTGAGGACGAGCGAGAATCCACAACGTCCGAAGCCGATCCTTCTCTGAACATTGTTCACTGGCGCCAGTCGACAATGTTCGAAGACAACCCTTCTTCGAACATTGTGCCTGGTATCAGTGCTCACTTTTCGAAGACCGTCCTTCTTCGACCCTTTTTCTCTGGGGCCAGTCCACAATGTACGTAGACCATCCTTCTTCGTCCATTGAGGACGAGCGAGAGTCCACAACGTCCAAGCCGATCCTTCTCTGAACATTGTTCACTGGCGCCAGTCGACAATGTTCGAAGACAACCCTTCTTCGAACATTGTGACTGGTATCAGTGCTCACTTTTCGAAGACCGTCCTTCTTCGACCCTTTTCTCTGGGGCCAGTCCACAATGTACGTAGACCATCCTTCTTCGTCCATTGAGGACGAGCGAGGAATCCACAACGTCCGAAGCCGATCCTTCTCTGAACATTGTTCACTGGCGCCAGTCGACAATGTTCGAACAACCCTTCTTCGAACATTGTGACTGGTATCAGTGCTCACTTTTCGAAGACCGTCCTTCTTCGAACCTTTTTCTCTGGGGCCAGTCCACAATGTACAATGTTCTTCGTCCATTGAGGACGAGCGACCCAACGTCCGAAGCCGATCCTTCTCTGAACATTGTTCACTGGCGCCAGTCGACAATGTTCGAACAACTCACTTCTTCGAACATTGTGACTGGTATCAGTCTTCACTTTTCGAAGACCGTCCTTCTTCGACCCTTTTTCTCTGGGGCCAGTCCACAATGTACGTAGACCATCCTTCTTCGTCCATTGAGGACGAGCGAGAATCCACAACGTCCGAAGCCGATCCTTCTCTGAACATTGTTCACTGGCGCCAGTCGACAATGTTCGAAGACAACCCTTCTTCGAACATTGTGACTGGTATCAGTGCTCACTTTTCGAAGACCGTCCTTCTTCGACCCTTTTTTTCTCTGGGGCCAGTCCACAATGTACGTAGACCATCCTTCTTCGTCCATTGAGGACGAGCGAAATCCACAACGTCCGAAGCCGATCCTTCTCTGAACATTGTTCACTGGCGCCAGTCGACAATGTTCGAAGACAACCCTTCTTCGAACATTGTGACTGGTATCAGTGCTCACTTTTCGAAGACCGTCCTTCTTCGACCCTTTTCTCTGGGGCCAGTCCACAATGTACGTAGACCATCCTTCTTCGTCCATTGAGGACGAGCGAAAGTCCACAACGTCCGAAGCCGATCCTTCTCTGAACATTGTTCACTGGCGCCAGTCGACAATGTTCGAAGACAACCCTTCTTCGAACATTGTGACTGGTATCAGTGCTCACTTTTCGAAGACCGTCCTTCTTCGACCCTTTTTCTCTGGGGCCAGTCCACAATGTACGTAGACCATCCTTCTTCGTCCATTGAGGACGAGCGAGAGTCCACAACGTCCAAGCCGATCCTTCTCTGAACATTGTTCACTGGCGCCAGTCGACAATGTTCGAAGACAACCCTTCTTCGAACATTGTGACTGGTATCAGTGCTCACTTTTCGAAGACCGTCCTTCTTCGACCCTTTTCTCTGGGGCCAGTCCACAATGTACGTAGACCATCCTTCTTCGTCCATTGAGGACGAGCGAAATCCACAACGTCCGAAGCCGATCCTTCTCTGAACATTGTTCACTGGCGCCAGTCGACAATGTTCGAAGACAACCCTTCTTCGAACATTGTGACTGGTATCAGTGCTCACTTTTCGAAGACCGTCCTTCTTCGACCCTTTTCTCTGGGGCCAGTCCGCAATGTACGTAGACCATCCTTCTTCGTCCATTGAGGACGAGCGAAATCCACAACGTCCGAAGCCGATCCTTCTCTGAACATTGTTCACTGGCGCCAGTCGACAATGTTCGAAGACAACCCTTCTTCGAACATTGTGACTGGTATCAGTGCTCACTTTTCGAAGACCGTCCTTCTTCGACCCTTTTTCTCTGGGGCCAGTCCACAATGTACGTAGACCATCCTTCTTCGTCCATTGAGGACGAGCGAGAATCCACAACGTCCGAAGCCGATCCTTCTCTGAACATTGTTCACTGGCGCCAGTCGACAATGTTCGAAGACAACCCTTCTTCGAACATTGTGACTGGTATCAGTGCTCACTTTTCGAAGACCGTCCTTCTTCGACCCTTTTTCTCTGGGGCCAGTCCACAATGTACGTAGACCATCCTTCTTCGTCCATTGAGGACGAGCGAAAGTCCACAACGTCCGAAGCCGATCCTTCTCTGAACATTGTTCACTGGCGCCAGTCGACAATGTTCGAAGACAACCCTTCTTCGAACATTGTGACTGGTATCAGTGCTCACTTTTCGAAGACCGTCCTTCTTCGACCCTTTTTCTCTGGGGCCAGTCCACAATGTACGTAGACCAGCCTTCTTCGTCCATTGAGGACGAGCGAGAATCCACAACGTCCGAAGCCGATCCTTCTCTCCATTGTTCATTGTTCACTGGCGCCACGACAATGTTCGAAGACAACCTTCTTCGAACATTGTGACTGGTATCGATGCTCACTTTTCGAAGACCGTCCTTCTTCGACCCTTTTTCTCTGGGGCCAGTCCACAATGTACGTAGACCATCCTTCTTCGTCCATTGAGGACGAGCGAAATCCACAACGTCCGAAGCCGATCCTTCTCTGAACATTGTTCACTGGCGCCAGTCGACAATGTTCGAAGACAACCCTTCTTCGAACATTGTGACTGGTATCAGTGCTCACTTTTCGAAGACCGTCCTTCTTCGACCCTTTTCTCTGGGGCCAGTCCACAATGTACGTAGACCATCCTTCTTCGTCCATTGAGGACGAGCGAGAGTCCACAACGTCCGAAGCCGATCCTTCTCTGAACATTGTTCACTGGCGCCAGTCGACAATGTTCGAAGAAGACAACCCTTCTTCGAACATTGTGACTGGTATCAGTGCTCACTTTTCGAAGACCGTCCTTCTTCGACCCTTTTTCTCTGGGGCCAGTCAATGTACGTAGACCATCCTTCTTCGTCCATTGAGGACGAGCGAGAGTCCACAACGTCGAAGCCGATCCTTCTCTGAACATTGTTCACTGGCGCCAGTCGACAATGTTCGAAGACAACCCTTCTTCGAACATTGTGACTGGTATCAGTGCTCACTTTTCGAAGACCGTCCTTCTTCGACCCTTTTTCTCTGGGGCCAGTCCACAATGTACGTAGACCATCCTTCTTCGTCCATTGAGGACGAGCGAAAGTCCACAACGTCCGAAGCCGATCCTTCTCTGAACATTGTTCACTGGCGCCAGTCGACAATGTTCGAAGACAACCCTTCTTCGAACATTGTGACTGGTATCAGTGCTCACTTTTCGAACCCTTTTCTCTGGGGCCACCGTCCTTCTTCGACCCTTTTCTCTCTTGTTCACTGGCGCCAGTCCAATGTTCGAAGACAATGTTGTGACGTAGACCATCCTTCTTCGTCCATTGAGGACGTCCAGCGAGCGAATCCACAACGTCCGAAGCCGATCCTTCTCTGAACATTGTTCACTGGCGCCAGTCGACAATGTTCGAAGACAACCCTTCTTCTTCGAACATTGTGACTGGTATCAGTGCTCACTTTTCGAAGACCGTCCTTCTTCGACCCTTTTTCTCTGGGGCCAGTCCACAATGTACGTAGACCATCCTTCTTCGTCCATTGAGGACGAGCGAAAGACCGTCCACAACGTCCGAAGCCGATCCTTCTCTGAACATTGTTCACTGGCGCCAGTCGACAATGTTCGAAGACAACCCTTCTTCGAACATTGTGACTGGTATCAGTGCTCACTTTTCGAAGACCGTCCTTCT